TCCCTGTCAGTCACATGGTCTCTGTGTTCATATGAAAGTGTGTCAGTGGGTATTTTTAGCATGTTTTAATTCAGTAGTGAGGGTCAGTCAGGGTCAGTACGGGACAGTAATGGTGAGTTGATTCCAAATGAGCCAATTCTTTGACTCCAACACGTCTGGTAGTTAGCATCGACTCTTGGCCAGTGATTCTTTGAGTTGAAATCAATCAATCAATCAATCAATCAATCAATTGACCTTTATTTTCATTCAGAAACACACTGAGGATGATCCTCATTTTCAGTGCTGCCGAGCACTTACAGCACAAAGTGACTGAAAAGAAATTAAAATGTAATTTAATCAGTTTAAAGTGAACAGAACTACATAAACAAATTGACAGTAAAATCAAACTAAATCAAACAAGATAAAAGGGAAAAAAATTAAGAGAACAAGTCAAATTTAAGATGACAAACAATAAAATAAATCAAACCAAGATATAGTAGTTAAAACCAGTTAATACATTTCAACATAATAGGATAAATAAGGCAAACTAAAATTCAGTCAAGTAAAAGGATTGCTTGGAGTCAATTCTTTGGCTTTGCAGACACACACTCTCAGCCTGACATGCACTGCCAGCCTATTAATGACATCACTGCCACGACAGTGTTTTGTTGGTTTGATAAGCTAAAACAGCGACCTGCATACTGTTGGGCTACATGAGTTACACTGAGTGGACTTTAGCTTTGTCACACTGATAATAATGAAATGAAATGTTATGGTGATTTACAGAATAAAACCTACCATGACGATAAGACATTATGTTGGGTTCATTAGCAGAAAAAGCAAACAGGCTACTCCTGAAATGCACAATGTGAAAAGCACATTAAATGGAATTCTCCAGCTGTGTTATGTACAGAAAATGGATTGTTGTGAGATGATTATTGAGAACTATGATGATGATACTGTTTTAATGTTAACGTGCCGTTGGGGCACTTCTGCCAGTGTGGCACAGAATGTATGTGTATGTGACGTCACTGGGCTGAGTGCATCTGCAGATAGACTCTACTGAAAAACTGGTAAACAATGTCGAGGACAGTTTAGCTCTCTCAGGTTGACAATGTCTTATGCGACAGCAAAGGACGTCATACGTTAAAGAATAAATCTTGGTAACGCTGCATGCTAGAGACTTTCATTTTTTCCTGGAAGGGTAGCATTGTGCCGTTTTAGTGAGGGCTCCAGTGTGATCCCTTTCAGAAGCTTTGTAATCCAGTCTTGAACTGCACTGTCTTTTTGGATAAAAATAAATCAAATCATAATAACAATTTCAACACTGAATGTCTTCTAAGATTATTTATCTGTTTCTCCATGTTGATAAGAGTTGTTGCTGTTAGCAGGGCTGGTAGGCATCCATGGGTTGAGTCTGTTGCCCAATTAGAGGCTGTGTTCCTGACTTGTCCACCAGTCAGTGGCTGTGTTCCTGACTTGTCGACTTATTAAGAGGCTGTGTTCCTGACTTGTCACTCAATCAGAGACTGTGTTCCTGACTTGTTGGCTAATCAGAGACTGTGTTCCTGACTTGTTGACTAATCAGAGACTGTGTTTCTGACTTGTCGACAAATCAGAGGCTGTGTTCCTGACTTGTCACTCAATCAGAGGCGGTATTCCTGACTTGTTGACTGATCAGAGACTGTGTTCCTGACTTTTTGACCAATCAGAGTCTGTGTTCCTGACTCATCAACCAATCAGAGGCTGTGTTCCTGACTTGTCAACCAATCAGAGACTGTTCCTGACTTGTTGATTAGTCAGAGACTGTGTTATATAGTACTTTCTTTGTCTCTAACATTTAGTTATGGTTTCCTGGAGTGGGATTAAGCCTAATGAAGTCACTCAGTGTGGCTTGGGCAGCCTTTAGCTGGTTGCTGGTGGTCTTCTTGAAGACAGGAAGCAAGTTTGATTGTATTGCGTGCAAACTACATTTTTAAAAGCATTTGAGCCTGTAACACCCGCCGCTCAGTTAGCGAAGGCTATATTTATTAACTAACATCACGAGACACAAACATTTAAAAGTGGATATGAAAATAATAACATGACTCTCTTTATCCCTTTGAGCACACATGTCAAACTGGGGACCTTTGGGGCCAACTAATCCAGCTCCAATGAGCTACAGCGCAGCGCAGACCCTCAGTGTGAAGAGAGACTGGAGCTGTTTTGCGCTGTATTTTTGTATGACTGTGAGTCTGCTGTGAGGATATTTACAGTGTGACAGCACCAGAGAAGCTGTCTGCTCTGTAAACGTCTGATCTATGACAGACTCTGGAACGATTCCCCCATAATTCAGTCAGAGAGGAGAGAGAGACAGAGAATGCTGGGAGTTTAAATTGAAGTCTCTCTCTCTTTAATGCTCCCTCCGTAATGATGGATGGAATCAGACATGTGGCCTGCAGTGTAGCTCCAGAGTTCTGTAGTTTTGTTTTGCAGCTCATTTCTTTTCACCCATGTTGCTTTTTCTGATGCTGTGAGGCCATGTTTAAAGCGTGCGTCTTTCTGACCAAACATTTAACCCACAGATGGAAGAACAGTCACGTCAAAGGCAATTATACAAGATCTAACATACTTTAAAGGCCCAGGCACACTAGCAAAATTACATTCATTTCAATAGAATTTACTGAAATGAGTAGTTCTGTGCCCCAAAACTATAATGCCAACCAATCAGCACTCAGTATCAGTAATGCCAGCCAATCAGCACTCAGTATCAGTAATGCTAACCAATCAGCGCTCAGTAGCAGTAACGCTAACCAATCAACATTCAGTAGCAGTAACGCTAACCAATCAACATTCCGTAGCAGTAACTCTAACCAGTCAGCATTCAGTAGCAGTAATGCTAATCAGTCTGCTCTTAATAGCAGTAATGCTAACCAATCAGCACTCAGTAGCAGTAATGCTAACCAGTCAGCACTGAGTAGCAGTAATGCTAACCAATCAGCACTCAATAGCAGTAATGCTATCCAGCCAGCACTCAGTAGCAGTGATGCTAACACATTTAGGACTTTTGACTGATCTTGGACTTTAGACTAAAATCCTTTTGCTCTGAGTGACCCTATATCTTAATTATGTTTATTTTATTAAATTAATGATTGAATATTCCAAAACAATCATAACTCCACCCGAGCTTTACTAGTCACTGATTGTTTCGGTAGTGGCAATTTTATCTTATTTCGATCAGAAATCAAGAACTCCATCCAGCTTTGAACAGCTGTACACATTAAAACACTAAAAAGTACTGAACTGCATAAAATATGACAATTCTTAATGTTCTACACTGATTTTCAGACTTTGGGACACATTTACTTCAAAACAATGGGATCTACCTGCTCACCATGTGGCCATGAAGGACAGGGATGCAGCCTCACTTTCTGCTCTAAAATGCAGGGGCGTGGCTAAAATAAGGCCCCAGTAGTTTCAGTAGTTTTCCAATTAAAAATTAAACTAATGGTAAATGTAAATCATTCAACTTCAATTTAAAAGAAATTGAAAAGATCTTAGATTATTATTTTCAGAAGTGTAAATTTAGAGATTAGGGTTTGGAACAGGCACCTCCCAACAGAAAGTATCCTATAAATGATTATTGTGTATATATTTAGCTTATTACTGTCTCTATTCATGACTTGGGTTTAAATAGATCAGAACAGAATCCTTATAAATATTTAGGATCTGAAGAACTTATGTGAGAGTTATGTAGGGACTGTATTGTTGATGTTAAGGATGTTGTAACAGTTGTGTGTGTAAATTGTCCTGAAAACTCCTGGAAATCACTTCCTAAAAAAGAGTGGGAACCCTGGATTAGGGTTTTTTCGAAGGACGTATTTATCCGCTGCTCTGCTCACACAGCACTGATTCGGCCCCCCTCACTGCTGGCATTTGGCCTCGTCACAATGTGGAGCGAGGGTGGAGGCGTGAGCTGTGTTGTTTCCGGGGCAGAATCTCTTCCCACACAGACGGAGAGCATGTGAGGATCTCCTGGAGAAAAGCCCTCTGATCCGATCAGCCAATCAGAGCGCAGAGTCACTGCAGGCACTTTAATCCTGCAGAGTCAGCACAACGCCCCCGCCCTCCACATCCCCCCTTACTGTAATAACAACACAGAGAGAGAGAACGATGGAGAGAGAGAGAGGAGAGAGACACACAAAGAGTAAAGAGAGAGAAAGAGAGAGATAGAACAGAGAGAGGAGAAAGAGCGAGACCGAGAGTAAAGAGAGAGAGAGAGATAGATACACAGCAAGAGAGATTAGAGAGAAAGAGAGAGATACACAAAGAGACAAAGAGAAAGGAAAAGATAGAGATGAAGAAGAGAGACCGAGAGAGTAAAGAGACAGAGTAAAGAGAGAGACAGAGATACACGAAGAGAGAGTAAAGAGAAATAGAGAGACAGAGAAAGAGAAAGGAAGTGATAGAGGAGAAAGAGAGACAGAGAGAGAGTAAAGAGATAGAGGGTAAAGAGAGAGAGTAAAGAGAGAAATGGAGAGAGAGACAGAAAGAGAAAGGAAGTGACAGAACAGAGAGGAGAAAGAGAGACAGAGAGAGTAAAGAGGCCAAGAGTAAAGAGAGAAAGAGATACACGAAGAGAGAGAGTAAAGAGAGAAATGTAGAGAGAGACAGAGAAAGAGAAAGGAAGTGACAGAACAGAGAGGAGAAAGAGAGAGAGATATACGAAAAGAGAGACTAAAGAGAGAAATAGAGAGAGAGAGAGAAAGAAAGGGAGTGACAGAACAGAAAGGAGAAAGAGAGACAGCGAGATATAGAGACACAGAGGAAGAGAGAGAAAAAATGAAACAGAGAGAGGAAGTGATAACAGAGAAACAAAAGGTGTTACTTTAACATTTGAAAAAAGTGTTTTTCAAGCAAGATTGGTGTAATTTATTATTAAAAAAATGAAACGTTTAATATTTTAATGTCAAATTCTCTCTGAGTCTTCAGTGAATGTAATTCTGGCAGAATTCTGATGATCGTATGTTTCTGTTTTCCAGTCTGAAAACCACCCTGAAGAAGAAGTTTGCGGGCGATACAGTGGACCTGTCCGGCATACCTCTGTCCAGCCGGGACCTCCAGCGTGTCATTTTTTACCTCCACAGCTACGGCTTGTCCGTGGTGGCGGTGGACCTGAGCTTCACAGAGCTTCAGGACGACGGCCTGCGCCTGCTGCTGCCCTCACTCAGCCTGATGCCTAAGCTCTCCACACTCGCTGTCAATGGTAACCGGCTGACCACCGCTGTCCTGAAGGACCTGACCGAGGCGCTGAAGGACCCAAAGAAGTTCTCCAACCTGGCCTGGGTCGACCTGGGCAACAACGTGGACATCTTCACCATTCCTCAGCCGCTGCTGGTGGCTCTGCGGCGGCGCTTCGGCCTAAGGAGCAGCCTGCCCACCATCTACGAGTACAGAGAGACAAAAGACGGCCACTACGGCCTGGAGGCGTCTACCGAGGAAGAGGAGGAGGAACTGGAACCCTTGAACATGGGTGAGAACACTATGAACATCACGCTGCACTTCACCGAGAGGTGATGAGACCTGAGTTCTGTATGGGTTGTAGTTTCATTGGTTCCTGTGAAACGATTCAGGGTGATCAGAACCAGAATCTCCCCCCGAGCAGCGTCTCCTGTCAATCACAGCAAACTCTGGAGCCCTGGAACACGGAGGAGAAAAGCAGGAACATCATGCTGAACTTCTCTGAGAGGTAATGGGAGTTTGGTTCTTCATGGTCTTCTTGGGTTCTCCAAGGTTCTCCATGGGTCTCCCACGAGGGATACCCAGAGTTCTCCAGGATTCTCAAAGGTTCCTTGATATTCTCCAGGGTTTTCCAGGATTCTTCATGGGCTTCCCTATGTGGATCACCAGAGTCCTCCAGATTCCCCAAAGTTCCCAAAAGTCCCTTGGGGTTTTCCAAGATTCTCCATGGGCTTCCCTGTCTGGATCACAGAGTTCTCCAAGATTCTCAAAGTTTCTTTGGCGTTGTCATGGTTTTCCAGGACTCTCCATTTGGATCACCAGAGTTCCCCAGGGTTCCCAAAGCTTACATGGGGTTTGACATGATTTTCCAGGATTCTTCAGAGTTATCCAGAATTCTTAGTGGTTGCTCAGGGTGCTCCATGGTTCTCCTTTCACTTGTCACCTTCGAGTTCTCCAGAGTTCTCAGTGGTTTCCATGGGTTCTCTTCTGCCAATGTTCCTGTTCTCCCCTGCCTCAGCATTTGCAACCAACGGAGCAGAAGGTCAGAACAGAGGAGAGTGGAATAGCGAGAGCATAGGTGGCCAAGCAATCAGAGTTCATACAGATCTGTAAGATCTCCAAACGCAGACGGACCACAAACAGAGATGAACACACAGTACTGAGAGTGTTTATGTACACGCAGCGCTGTAATTAGCGGTTAGCATGTATGGACGCACCGTTTGGGTTTTGTTGTGCATCAAACATGCCAGTGGTCAGTGGGTGGTCACAAACTGCTCCCAGTTCTTTCCTCCTGCTGAACCTCAATTACAGGAGCCGACCGTCTGCGTGTGCTGCCTCCGCTCGTTAGCGCAGACCCAATGCAGACAACCGGGAGACTCAACAGCACTGACCAATCAGATTAATGCTTTATTAAATCAGCCTGCTGGGTTCAGAGGAATGAACGACGCGCTCCTGCATGAACTCACAGTTTTTTATTCGGACATTTTGTTTCTTATGCTTGTTTTGATTATTAATTTGAGAATTAACTGAGTTCTTGTCTTTTTGGGGTTTTTCAATGATTTTTAATACTAATAATAAGAAGTGCTGTGAACTCCCTTCATTTGTTTAATTTTTGGTCAAAACAGCCATTAAGTACCAGTTATTCACTTTTCAGCATCTTGAAAAAAAATACTCAACAACTAAATCTAATATCAGATGTTTTCAGTGTTCAATGTGTCACTCTTTACCTTTATTTCAGCTTCCTTTCTTCTCAGGAGACTCACTTTCAGTTTCTCAAAGAAATCTGCAGACACACCTCCGAAGTTCAGTCTTAGAAGTTGGTTTAGCATTTACTGCACATTCAGTGATGTTGAGATCTGAGCTCTGGGGTTATCAGTCCATTGTTCAGAGAACACCAGCAGCTTCATCTTGTTTGTTTATTAGTGTTTACTCGTCAGTGTTTGCTTTGTTCAGTCTTTACTTTTGTGCACCCTAACAACCACCTGAAAGACCTGTTGGACACCAAAACTCCTCCCATCAGATAAACAGCACTTAAAGCTTTCATCTTTAAGAAAAAGAGAAAATCAAATTGCTTCAGATCTGAAAACATCCACAGGTGTTTCTGTCCATCCTTCCACTGTGAGAAGACAACTCAGCGCTATGGGTCTGAAAGGATGTGTAGCTGTCAAGAAGCCTCACTGAGAAAAGGAGACAGACACATCAAACAAAGAAGCTGAACAATGGACTGACCACCCCAGAGTCCAGACCTCAACATCACTGAATGTGTTTGGATTACTTCAGAAAATGATCAGCCAACTTCTAAGACTGAACTTTTGAGGTGTGTCTGCAGATTACTTTGAGAAACTGAAAGTGAGTCTCCTGAAAATAATGGAGGCTGTAATACTGAAGTGACACACTCAAACAGCTGAGCTGAAATATCAATAACTTGTACTTAAAGGCTGTTTTGACTGGGAGTAAAATAAATAAAGGAGGGGTCTCTTACTTTTGCACAGCATATTAGCATTTAGCACATCTGTGAAGTTTAGTTTTTTGGTGTTTTTTGGGTTACACTGTATTATTTCAACAATGATGATGCAACAAAATGAGCAGAGATCAGTTATAATGTAATGAGGAGTTTATAATTGATTGTTATTGATAAAGTGCGTGTGAGTATGCATGTGAGAGTGCCGTATTCACGGAGAAGCACTGAACGCTTTTGAATGCGGACGTGTGTCTGATTTGCACTTCATAAAACTGGTTGGTTGTGTTTGGGACCCTCTGGGTCAGACGTGGTCTCGTAAATGTGGGTGGCAGCCAGGATTATAACAGTGTTTACTTTTTCATTGGTTTTTATTTTTGTTTAGTTTCTTTTTTGTTTAGTTTCTGTCTTCAGATTAGTTTTAGTTGGTTTGCACTGACAGTTTTTACTTAGACTTTCCTAAAAGATGTTAGTGTAGGTTTTTTATTTGGTGTGGTGAATTTGTTGTATAAAGACAGTTAAAGGGGCCTATAATTCTAATTTTTAGTGTTCATAATTTTAATTTTGCTCTACTAGAACAGATTTACAGGTTCAATATTTTAAAAACACATTTTTTCCTCATACTGTTCATCTCTGTTCACCCTCTGTCTGAAATGCTCTGTTAGAGCTCCTGTTTCTTTAAGCCCCGCATCCTGATGAGCCCAGCATGCTCTGATAGGTCATCTCACCCACTCTGTTCTGTTTGGTTAACCCCTTGAACAGCTTCTTGCTACAAGCTTCGCCCCCACACCTCTCTGGCTGTTCTTACAACGGCGATGGTCAATCCTGAAAGTCAGGTAGAACAAGCTGGACTGGAGCAGGACGTTTCAGAGCGGGAACTTAACTGTTTGACTTAACTGTTTTATTTGATGTCAGTTTCTTTCTGCTCTATTTCCTTTTATTTTATTGTGTTTTGCTATTGCATTGCAGCTGTTGTGTTTGATGTTAATTCTTTTACTGTTCTATTTTATTGAATTTTATTTCTAAAATGCTAGTTTTCCTATTATTATTAATATATTATCTTAGTTATCTTAGTTGGTTCTTTTACTTAACTTTAATGTTTTCATTGTATATTGTTATTTTATCCCTATTTCTTATTTGATTTGTTATTTTTATTTTTATTTGCTTGTCTTGCTGGTTTTTATTTGTTTTAGTTGATCGATTTCATTTTAACTTTTTTCAGTTCTGTTTAACCTGCTCAGCTACATTGTAAATAAGGATCACCCTCAATGTACGTCAGAGTTGAAATAAAGATTGATTGATACTTTGTAGCTCTTATGTGTGAGGTTGTGCGGAGCTCGCCAGTAGGCAGACGACAAGAATTGTGTTACGAAATGTCTTTGTCTGATGTAGGGAACTAAGGGGCCCAAACCCTGAAAAACAGCCTCAGCCCATTATACCTCCTCCACCAAACTTTACTCTTGGCAATATGCATTCTGGTAGGTAACATTCTCCTGACATTCACTAAACCCAGATTCATCCATCAGACTGCCAGATAGAGAAGCGTGATTCGTCACTCCAGAGAATACGTTTCCGCTGCTCCAGAGTCCAGTGGCAGCGTGGTTTACACCACTCCAGCCAATGCTTGGCATTGCGCATAGTGATCTTAGGCTTGTATGCAGCTGCTCAGCCATGGAGACCCATTTCATGAAGCTCCTGATGCACAGTTCCTGTGCTAATGTTGCTTCCAGGCAGTTTGGAGCTCCGTAGTGAGTGATTCAACTGAAGAAGGCACTGTGCACTTCAGCACTCAGCCGCCCTGCTCTGTGAGTTTGTGTAGTCTACCGCTTCATGGCTGCTTCAAGCTGTTGTTGCTCCTAGATGCTTCCATTTCACAATAATAGTGCTTACAGTTGACAGTGGCAGATCTAGCAGGACTGAAATTTTACAAACTTGTGACAAAGGTGGCATCCTGTAACAGTGCCATGTTTAAAATCACTGAGCTCCTCAGTGTGACCCATACTGCAGGTGTTTGTCTATTGTGACTGTAAGGCTATGTGCTTGATTTTATACACCTGTTAGCAATGAGTGTGGCTGAAACACCTAAGCTCAATAATTAGAAGGGGCGTCCACATACTTTTGGCCATATAGTGTACTTTGGTGAACATAAAGCTGAGTGTTGAAGATAAATATAAACAGAGCATTAACACAGATCTGAGTTTTATTACTGCATTGAAAAGTAATAATGAGAGAACTGACCTGTCAGATAAAGGCACAGTGTCCCCAAACCTCTGACTGGCAGAGTGTGTCAGTGTTGGGTGACTGTTTTTTGGTGTGTAATTTTTTGTGCTGCAGTGTTGTAGTGTACGGCCTGCTGAGACTGTTCCTGCCATGCAGAATAAACAGTGTTTGTTTGTAAACAAGCGTCTTCATTAATGAGGTTTGGAAATGCACTCCTGCTTTCAGTGAACTGGATTCTTTGAAGAGATCAAACAGAGCGGGGCTGGCTAATGAAGAGAGGAAACTCAGAAAAGAAAGAGAGAGAGAGAGTGTGGGGCGCTATTGAAATTCCTACTTAACTCAGAGCACTGCTACAGTAGTGATAATTCACTCAAAAACAAGTAAAATTATTTAAAGAGCCCAAACCCTACTTTTCTTTTGCATGTTATTTTTTCCACACCTGAGCTCCACTTATAGTGTTTGTGTAAGTTTATATACAAAAACCGTTATAACACAATTTTTACTTTGTCCCTTAGAATTAAACAAACTATTGTGCCTTTAAGACTGACTTATGTAAATGACCTGTGCTCTGACTGGCTGCCCTGCATTCAAAAGTCTGCGCTCAAATACTTCTTACAACTTCAGCATGAATGGGTGGGGCTAAACTGCTGTAGGCTCGATTTATGGAAATTCATTGCTTTTTGTGACATCACAAAAACAGTAAATTCAAAACAGGCAGTTTAGTTTGCATATACAGACTGTAAAGTGAAAGGTGCATTTTGAAACTTTGAAACAATGTTTACATACAACATCAAACGCTTTCATTTAAAATGTGTATGGGAAATGCCATGATGTTTACTCTTTAATAAAGAAGAGTACTGAAAGTAAACTACTGTTTGCTTTGAGTTACTTCAATATTTATCTTACTCCAATGCTAAGGTCGCACCCAAGCTAACCCATCAGCTCATTTTAGATGTTAGCTTACACTAGCTAAGAG